AATCCTTGTCTGATCGATCATCATCCACTACCGCGGTTTCGAAATCACGCGATAGAGACCCAGCTTCCCGAAGCGCATCCTCGATGTTAAGCAAGTCTGGACGCTGGGGCGTCTCGGGATTGAAAGCTTGTGGGACGGTATTTTGCCGACTCAGTGGCACGTCGGGGGTGGCTTCCAAGCGTGGCGCATCCAATTGAAATCGATGATCATCCAATTCAGGAACTGGGGTGCTGAACCTGGTCAGGCACATGTATTTCTCGGACTTCGGTGACTCGGACATTGTGGCTATATCGGTGTTCTTTATTGATTCTTCCTCACGTGGGTATTTATAACAGGGTTGATGAAACGAATTTGCTGGCCGGGAGCCGATATTGTTGACTTATTGTTTTTTTGGATTGATTATATGCGCGGCGGCGTTCAAAGGCGCGACGTCGAAAGTTGTAGACTGGATGAGAAAGGTCCCAGGGCGATTGCTCCTCCATCCATTAGCCAGACCCCTCGCAAGGGCCTGGCATTACCGATGCGCGTCCGTGTGCCAGCTTTGAGACTGCTTTAATAAGCTCTATTAGGGGGGTCTGGTGTCGCCCCCGCAGAAGACCCTGAACTTGGGGCCCAGAAGAGGGTGGAGGAGGGAAGACTGGTTGCAGCGAAGGCCCGCCAACTTGACTGAGTGAAGCGTAAGGAGCGCCGTCGCTCCGAAAAGTGCGGGGGAAAAGTGCGATGACAGAGAGAACTCCTTAACAGAGTTCTCGCAGTTCAGCGCAAGATTCGACCGGCAGGATTGACGCCCAAACTGGGTTTAACGAGATCGAGAAGAGCTGCTGGACAGCGGATAATAAGTCGGACCAATCGGGCTGCAGAAGATCGAAGACAAGTTTCGGTCTGACTTCAATGAAGTGTTGGATTGAAAAGTGCACTGAATGTGTTTCAAGGTGAGTGGTGATGATCGTCGGCACACTCAAAGGGAAGAGGGTGGGAGGCGACTGGTAGAAAAAAGAGTCGCAAAAGTGGAATGGGTGACCCTATTTTTTTAGAGTATGATGTAGTACGCACCACACTCGGAAAAATAGACCCCGTGGTCAAAGACGATGCGTCAAACCACGAGGACGGGAAAAGAGCAACGGCGAATCAAAGACAGCCGAAACACTTAGGGAAGCACGATGCAAGATGTTGAGTTATAAATAAAATCAAGAGCAATGGGTTTTAAAAAGATGTTCACCAAGAAGGTGATTGTGAGGAAGTTGTCTCAAGGGGACAGGAGAGGACCGAGAATCAAGGCAGCCGAGTGGAGGAGCAATTCTAGTATTAAATAAAATACGAGGGGCGGGCAGAAATTTCCGCATCAAGGGTGAAAAACGGACTGAGGAGTCTGAAATTTTTAGTTGAAGACGCCGCGTCGGCAAAGGCCCCGAGGCGGGTTTAGTCCGGCCGTCGTCCAATCACGCCAGTGGCTTTTAGTAGTCTGGAAATCTGGTTGCTCCCGAGTCCGTGGCCATCATCAGCTGCTCTGCAATAATAATCCAGTAAGTAGTCACTCCCACTACATGTGGGATGGTCAGATTTATGATTATTCAAATCATTGCTTGACCTCTGTGAGGAATCGGGAATCTCCTGGAATGGTCTTGCTTTGTGGATGTGGATCTTATTCGAGTGGATTCTATCTAGTCCGTCTCTATCCATTCATTCAAGCTGCAAGCCTGAAAATTAATTACAGTGCTACTGGGCACCTGTCAAAAACTTTCCCGTGAAAGAATTATTTATATCTCTTTTGGCTGGCACTCCTGCACGTTCCAGATCCAATGGTTGCCATGGACAGGCCATATCCGTGTGATCTACCCACTTCGTCCAATACTATGTCTCATTTGCTAGCATCCTAACCAGAAAAACAAACCACTTACTTCACTCTATCACCCAAGGTTCTCAACCGAAATTGCGCGAATAAGACCTATCTAGGCAGCAATCTAAACATCTCATCCGATCTCGTCAAAAAGTGTCCTTACCAGCTGTTGTAGGACACTAAATACTTACTACTTTGTACTAAGTAAGTATGTCTTGCTTCGCCCGAATGAAGTCTCCATCTACATCTCCTTAGTGGACGTAAATACCGGTAATATTACCTTGCCACATGGAGCCTGACTTAGGGGGGGGGGGGTCGTCTTCTGCTGCCCAATGAAGGCCAAGTTGATCATAGCTGAATCGCACTGCAATTCCAGCCCTGCGTATCCAATTCCACACGCGAGTGGACGAAACAGGGCAGAAAGGATCAAAGCAGATCTGGCTCATTCTCGAAACACATCATCCTTCCAAACCCCCACCGGGGTATGCATGAAAACTCTTATGATATAGTATGTATGTCATTGTCACACCCTTTCCACCGAATCATGGTAAGCCTGTTCAGCTATTGTAGGACAATCAGTAGGGAGAGAAGTCTTTTTTGGGCTGGTCGGAAAAGTGTCTTGCACTTGAAGGAGGGGGGGAAGCAAGCGTTTGCGGCTGAGGTTATGTTGTGTTTGTAACAATACGCAAATCTTCAGGTCAGACCGAGATCCAATCAGGAGTAGTCTACTGAGGGAGAGCGATCGCATGACTCCAAAGATATACTGTATTGATTGATCAGTTACTTATTTGCCTGCTTAACTATGGATGTGAACAAGGAAGTACTTTCTGTAAGAAGTAGTGGTAAGTATTAATAACCATGTCACAAACAATGATGATAGGAGAATTTGGGAAATAATCTTCGAACTTGGCTTTGTGGCACCTGGATCTAGCAAAGCCCTGTGGCCCCTCACTTGCCCGCTTTCTGCTTCCCCGACGTCGGCCTTTTTTTTTTCTGCTAATTTTTGGAAATCCGTTTTCATTGCCTTTTTTGACCACCGAGGAGCGCCAAGAAAAGAAAAGAGTCACAACCTTAAGTCGGAGCCGAGTGCGATAATAATTATTATTGTAGTGACTCAAGTCTATCTATCACTGCTACGCTGTGACTGGCAACAACGGTGCTCTTGCCATACATACTACATACCTAGCAAGTCACTGGAGGTTTCATCCCGCTTCAGTCCATTTTTCTTTCTTTTTTTCCCTGATCCCTCCTCCGTCCTTGTTCCTCCACAATGGCTGCCACTTCCTTTGTTATCAGGACGCCCTGCTCGTCCGCCAACATTGGACCTGGGTTCGATGTGATCGGCCTGGCATTGTCCATGCATTTGGAGCTCCACGTCACAATTGATAGCTCCAAGTCATCGCAACAACCACTTAACTGTCGCATCACATATGACGACCTGAGCAACAGTACCGAGAAAATCAGTCTGGACCCCGAGGTCAACTTGATCACCCGTGTAGCACTTTACGTACTTAGATGCCATAGCCAACGGGCATTCCCTGCTGAGACTCATGTGCACATCGTAAACCCGATCCCCTTGAGTCGGGGTCTCGGTTCTTCTGGCACTGCCGTTGTGGCTGGTGTAATGCTGGGAAATGAGGTAGGTAAGCTTGGGCTCAGCAAGGATCGTCTCTTGGATTATTGTTTAATGATCGGTAAGTGGCATGTCCATCTTTCTGCTGGTGGGGAATAAAGTCGAGCATCCTGCATGCGATTGATACTGCTTGACACCTCGTCGTTTGCTGGCCATCGCTCATCTGCTTAACAGAACGACACCCCGACAATGTCGCTGCCTCGCTCTTCGGAGGCTTCGTTGGCACCTATCTCAACGAACTCGCCCCCGAAGACGTAGCGCGCAAGGAGATCCCTCTCAGTGAAGTTTTGCCTTCTCCGGCTGGTGGCATTGACACCGGCAAGAGGCCTCCTGAGCCGCCCATTGGCATCGGTCATTACAGAAAGTTCCAGTGGGCCAAAGAAATCAAGGCTATTGCCATCATCCCCGACTTTGTCGTGCCCACCGCCAACGCCCGGAATGTTCTTCCTACCTCGTATACCAGAGCGGACGTTGTAAGCATTGTTCCCTCCGTCGCTTTCCCTCCGTCGCCATTTCCGAATCCGATAGCAAATGAGCTACATCGGCTAATGCTATTATTTTGTTTAGGTCTTCAACCTCCAGCGCGCTGCCTTGCTCCCAGCAGCTTTGGGCAGCTCTCCGCCGGACCCAGACATGATCTATCTGGCCATGCAAGATAAGGTCCACCAACCATACAGACAGACTCTTATCCCCGGCTTGACGGAGATTCTCCAATCAATGAACCCACGCACGCAGCCCGGTCTGCTTGGAATCTGTCTGTCAGGTGCAGGCCCGACCATCCTTGCCTTGGCAACGGATAGGTTCGAAGAGATTGCAGACCGCATCATTGCTCGCTTTGCTTCCAATGGCATCGCCTGCCAGTGGAAGTTGCTCGAGCCTGCCCAAGACGGCACCACTGTTCAATACTGAGAACCCCATGGCGGTTGCCAAAATTTAGATCCAATTCACTCGAAAAGATAGTCATGATCTAAGAGGCAGGGATAGATATGACCGCCATGATTGGTGTATATGCTTTCATAGACGGCTAGAGCCTGGGAAAGGGCTCTATAAATAGTGGGCACAACGAATGTGACTCTTCTTATCACTCGTTCTTATGATATCCGTACCCACATTTTCTTACTGCACTGTCGCCTAGACTGGCAGTTTTACAAGATATCAAATATAAAATTTCCCTGCAAACCCAGGATTGTCAAGGTACTCTTCGTGTTTCTTGTAGATTTGAAAGGGCTCGATCATCTGACAGGAAGAGCACAGCTGTTACGGATGCATTGCTAGAAGATATACAACCAGGCCACATTATCAACGGCCGTACTCCCAACGTCTCTATAATGACACCGAAAACAAAGAAATAAATAAAGAAGTAGTAAAGGACGATGTCCAATCGATCGATGATGGGTAACTAACTACAATACGTCATGCCCGATACAGGCCTCAATAATACGAATGTTACTGTCCGTGTAACAATACGGTGTCCGATTGACCCGCGATAAGCAGAGGCGGTGGACATGCAACCACCTCAAGCTAACCTCAGCGCCGGCAACGAAGTAAAGGGTGCCCCTTCGACCAGCGACCGTCTAGAACGAACTGGGAAACAATTATATCGCACTATAATCAAAACATCCACAATGGAAAGTCTACTTGCGCCAATTCAAGATGCTCTGGAAGGTCAAATTGTGAGTTCTGGGTTTCCTCTGCGCCCGTTGTTTGGGTGATCGTTATTACAGCCACCTATGCGTTTACTTCTATCTACCTATCCCGGAGTGTATGGTTAACCGTGTTGCCGTTTCCATGAATAGGACTTCCAGGGCCAGCGTATTGCAGAGCTTCTTAGTACGGTGCTTCTTGTTCTGTCGGGTGTAAGTTTCTCTACTATTGTTCTATGGTGGTGAAGGTGTTGTTGATGTCTTCTGGTCTGATTGCTTACGATGGTCGCTTTGTTTAGGCCGTTGCTTTCATTGTTGGATACATCTTCCAGGATATCCATCTAACACTCTGGGTCGGATTGGCCGGCACGTTAATAACTGGGTTGGCCGTGATTCCGCCTTGGCCTATGTACAATAAGAATCCCGAGAAATGGCTTGTTCCTCTGACGACGGGCGTGGGAGGAGGTGCAGGTATTGTGGTAGATGGAGTTAAGGTTGCGTGAGACAAGGAGTCGCGGACTTTGGACATGTCTATTTAATATCCTGAATCAATCACAACTTGTCCGCTTGCGTGTGCACAAACAAAACCTGCATCGATAATTTTGAAAGCCGCTGCTGAGAACTGCGAAATGAACCACAAACGCCATAGAAAGCCCTCCCTTCCGGTTCTACCTTATAGGGGATATTGTAAGACATGGAAGGTGATCCGCCCGTATTCGAACCCTGCGATCTTTGCACACGCGTTTACCGGCCATACTTCTGGAACTCCCAGTCCCTATTGTCGAGGGGACACACTTGACGGGTTTTCAGCCACCGCGAGATGCAGTGGAAGTGGAACGCATGCTAGGGACGAAAAAAAGGTGGGCGTTAGTGTGGAGTGCAGAGGGGGTGTCTAGGGGAATAAACTTACGTTGCAGATACCCCAAGCAACTGTACACTCTTCAGTTGTAGACGAACCTTGGTTGGCCTGGCACTCGATACCTAGCAACCATCAGACATTAGATTTCGGATTCCATGAAGGTAAGACAGGTCCAAGACGTACAGAGATCCATGATGTGATTACGACAGATTGCGCAGTTGTCGACGACGATATCCCACGCCCACAGAGCGACCGCGTTCCACTAGAAGAGCAACTTGATTAGCTTCAACGGTACTCGAAAGGGAAGCACACATCTTTGGTGCTGTACCTTCTTAACCTCAAACTTCTTCTTGCCATCACTGGCACCTTCGGAAGCTTTCGACGATCCCTTTGCTTTGACGGCGGCGGCAGAGCCGGCTTCTTTCATTTCCACGTCCGCCATTTTGCGCGCTTTAACCCTTTGACGGCGCTTAGTCTATCGAAAACCCGGTCACAAGTCGGAATAGGTGAACGAGCTGAGCAAGGTTCGGAGGAGGGGCAAGCAAATAGATTAATTACGTAGGTCGCTCGGATAGTGGTGGTACCTGACCTATAGGTACTATAGGTAGTAGTTGTGGTTAGTTAGCTGATAACCCCGGGAGTGGTTGCGGTGTGAGCCCACCGGCAATACTCTCTGGTGGACGTAGATCGGAGAGGGGCATTGGCTTACCCGAGGAGCACTGACGTAGTAGGGAAGTTCTATCAAAGGAAGGGTTGATGGGAAATGATAAGGGTAGGAAGAAGTAAGAATCTTCGTTTTTCTTTTTTTTTTTACTTCTTCTCTAAAAGCCGAGTACCTTGTTGGGGAGAATGATGGCCTGGGAGTATGAAGTGAGATAAACAGCAGCTGAATGGGAGTTGTTTTTTGTTTTGTTTGCAAGGCTGGCCTGGCAGTGGCGTAAGAACTCTATGCTTGTTAACTAACTATTAGTGAACTGAACTTGTGACTTGTACCAAAGTGGCTGAGTCATCGCCGATGATCCCCGCTTGGTTCTTCTTCCCCCAGCCATTCTTAGGTTTCCGCCCGCCCTTCCCAAAGTCCAGTCGCTACTTACTCTCTCACCTTCACCTTTCCTCCCCCCCAAAGCCTCGGTCAAGACCTACAATGTACCTCAGCTTTCCTTTACTTTCTGCCTTTATTCGCCTATCTAGACGTGAGCATGCCTAGGAGTCTTGGCTTCCTGCTTCCTTTGCGCTTCCTTCGACTCTAATAATAGACGATTTCCAACTCTCCGACTTGATCCTCCCATCTGACGTCTTTCCGATCGATCAATCAAAGACCAACTCGTCGGGCCACACACTCAGTGCCCAGCACACCTAGCGACGATCTCCTCTTGTCCTTATCTCCTGATAGTTCTATCCAGCGTTGAATCATCGAGTACGGGCTGCTGGACAGTGCTTCGTACCACCACCGACTCCGTGACTATCGTTCGAGCCGCTTCTTATCGCTATTGTTTTTGTTTTCTGGTGCCGCCGCCGCCGCCCAGTCGTTTTCGGTTTCTCTTCAAAAGGCTGCCTATTTCTTAAGCCTATCTGACCATCATGTCAACTCAATCGCCCAACCCTCCGACGCCAAAGGGTCCTCGAAACAATCGACGCAACTCCAAGAGGAATATGACACCCTCTACTCAGAAAGTCGCTATACTGGCAACCCCTCCCTCGTCACCGCCAAGGAACTCCAGTCCTGGCGGGACCGCCACTGATTCCTCTATCAATGTCAACGCCTCCAAGAAGAAAAACAGTCGGTCTGGCAAGAAGCCGCGCGACGCATCCAAAGCATCCCCAGCACCCAATGGACACCGTCATACTACTTCTCAACCTAATAATACCATCGCCACCCCTCAAGTGAAGGACAGCCCCCATTACGCCGGCCCGACTTTCCATGCATCTCCGGCACCGTCAGCACTGCCTATTCCCAGTTTCTTCTCCAAGTCTCTACCAGAGTCAGATCTTGCACCGACCCTAGAATCCGACGGTGATCACCTCGATGCTGAGCCGGATCTGGAGAACACCCCCTCAAAACCGAAGTCGCGCCCACAATTTCAAGAGGAAGCGCGCCAGTCAACACCTTTGGATTTTCTCTTCAAAGCTGCAGTCGAAGCCAGAAACCCCCAGCAGCAGCAGCAGCGAAGCCCCGAAGCAAGCAGTCGGGTCCGGTCGCCACAAACTGATTCTAAGACCCTTCAGCACCGTAGACCCAATGGCACTGCCGGTGGGCTCTTCCGGATGGAGATGGAAAGCCCGGAATTCCAGCATTCACATATTGGGCCTTCCTTTGCGACCCCTTACAAGGACCGCATGAACGCGTTACGGTCGGCCAGCTCACCTTCTCCTCCGGTGTGTGATTTCGATGAGCAGGAGAAGAGAGCTAAAACCGAAGCTCTGAAAACTTTGTTGCTCAATCCTCGTCCGCAAAGGCCTTCGTCCGCATCTATCACGGCTCAAGATCACTTCAACCCAGTGATGGAGCGGCCTGCTTCAAATCCCGGCGTACCTCATTTTGCAACACCAGTAAGAACGACTTCGGGACCGCCCGCTTCTATCTCGCATGGCATGTCGTATGATCAGAAACAAACATTCGTCGGAAATGGCCGGCACTATTCCTCATCCTATACACACTCGAACGCTGCTCAACAATATCACTTGCAAAACTCTCCCTTGAGGAAAGAAGTCCTTACTTCGAGAGTTGAAAACATGCCAAGCGTTCATGGCCAAGCTTTCTACCCTCCAGCCGCGTACGATCAGCCCAAATCTCCGCCTAAGTATGCACAATATCCGACGTATTATTCTCCTCCGCAGCACCAATCTCCTGTCTCACGGAGCGTGTCGGTGAGCAACAACGCGCCGCCTTATGACACGAAGAAGATTGAAGATGATCTACGAAGGATCTTGAAACTCGATGTGAACCCTACCATGCCCGCCAACGGCATGCAAAGCTCCTTCGCCTGATGTCGGCTGTCATTGGCATTTCGTGATGCCTTCCTTCCTTCCGTTGATTTCCTATTTCAACCGTTCATTTCACGATATCAATTTTTCAGAAAGGGCACAGTCTTGACGAACAGTGCTGGGGACACTAGCTGAATCCCACTGGCCATGTGAAGCATGGTTCTCATTTTTACTGGGCTACCGCAACTTACGTTCACATCCTAATCATCTTGCGCTTCATGTCCTAAGTTATGTTCTATGTCCTTCTCAGGGGTCCTGTTCTGTTGTTCTCCACGGTTTCATGTTGGTAGCGGCTATCCTGGCGATTGAAAGGGAGTTATCTGTCCCCCTAGTATGTCTTCGAACCTCTATTTGCATTGAACCCCGGAGTACGGTTGCCTTTGGAGTGCTCTTTATGGGACTGTTGGTTTGGGCGAGGTTTCCTAACGTCTACGGATATCCGTGATGACACTCGTTGTTCATGTTGTTACATTTTGACCTTTTGTTGTTGTTGTTTTTTCTTTCTTGTCTTGCCTTATGTTTACCCTTTCTTTCTATTTTATCTTTATGTCACTTTCCATCAATACCTGTCCTTCGTGGGTTCGGTTCCAGGTTTCGCCAACGGCGATGAACGATGACTTTTCTGCTCTTTTGTTGGGTTCGGTTCTCTGGTCTGCTAGACGAGATCTAGCAAGGCCAATCCAGGACTGGTTGTTTCCTGACATGTATCATGAAGGCCTTTCATTTCTCTTATTATTTTTGTTACTCCTATGTGTCTTGTACCTACATTCGTTTCGAAGCCTCTTAGTCTTCGCGGTGGGTTTGTCCGTTATCAAGGCACATCCACATCAACGGCTATCCCAATCATACCTTCGTTCAGCCGGATACTATCCTCTTACCTCATCAACACTTCTCCACCCCCTATACTGTAATGTATGCCCAGCAAATGGCCAGAACATGGCGATTAGTAGTAGCGATAGTAGTAGCGGTAATGATAGTCTAGTTTCTCTGCCAAGTGACAGCTACTATATAGTATGTCTCAGGGACACTGGAGCAACCATATTTAAGAAGATGTCTACCCATCTCCAATTAGTAGTCCGACGTCTACTAACTAGCGAAACCCCTCCCCGAAAGCCCCGAATTAGCAATTGTCTCCCCCTACTACACGCACTAGATTCCTAGTACTTAGTTGAGATCTCCACGGACTACAGAGCCGGTAGGGAAAGACATGGGTATGGATAAAGGAGGCCCGAATCCGGAGTCCAGAACCCGGATAGAAGCCGGCCGGGGCGGCAAGCCCAACCTCAACGGCGAATGGGGAGTTCCCGAAAGCGTCGGTCCACTTTTTTCTTGCTATTCTGGGTTCCACTTCCGTATTGCAAATTTCGCTAACTAGAGGGAAGTCTGCCTCCACTTGCAATTCCACCATCACAGAGAAAAGAGAAACAAGAAATCCCCCGGAAAGCGGACAGGGGGGGAGGGAAGAAAGAAGGGTATTGTGGTGGGTAATTGATTGGGGAGTTTTCCCAGGGCGTTGGGATATTCTTATGGTTGTTTCTTGGCCATTTCTACTTACCCCCCAGCCAGGTAATATGTAGGAGTTTGATCACATGCATAGTGGTTGAGTAGTCTGCACGTACTGCTTGGTAATCGTAATGATGGCTAACTACTATATGGGTGTATCTGAGACAGATCTTGAGTGAATGATCCACTGGTTTAGATGCTCTATTACTTCTATCTAATACATGTCCAA